AAGTTACAAATTTCACCCGTTATATTTTAATAATTGTACTAACATGTACAAATAATGAGAATAAACAAGATTCTTATACTCCCTACTTGCTTTAAACTTTGTTAATTTTTGTCAAGAGGGAGAAATCAACTTATCTTTACGGAAGTTGTTCTGGGACTCGAGGGTTGCACCAAGGAGTCTCTATCATTCTAAAGTCCAAACTAAAATAGCTTGTGCTTCCTTCATTGAATCAGTATAAGATTTTCTTTGAATGAATGTAACTTAGAGTTCCTTTGCCCAGATTATCCAACAAACAGTACTACATATTCCAGCTTTTTCAATGTAACTTTTTGAGCAGAAGGTAAATAAGAAAACATATATACGTAGTACTACATTACAGAATACTGGGAGAAATCGAAGATGAATTTGATGCAAAATACTAAAATCAATAAGGTTCCGTTGACAATGGCTAAATACCAACTTCACATTTTCCTGCCCTCTCAACTAACATCGAGAAGATGTCACCAAAATGGTCAATTCAAGAAGGCATTGAAGGGTGCAATGACGGTGTTGTCCTTCTCCCATAGCCAACACCAGCTCTAAGAATACCGCCATAGCACCATGCACTCGCCAAGCTTCACAAAATGCCAGTTTTGTAAATCAGTGGCACATCAAACTTCCCCCACTAAATTTATTTCTATTAAGTTTTTGACAAAATAGATACAGCAATACATCAAAGGTCTTTCGATCAACAAGTTTCAACAATACCTGAAGTTCATGGGATAAAAACATGATTTAAAGGTAACTTGAGGTCAACTGAACCTCTATCTTCTTCATATTCCATTCATCTATTGTCCTGGAGTGCTGCAAGAAAAAAAAAGCATCAGTATGAATGAATCTCAATGATAGATACCATACTAATTTAGAAGTAAATTATATGCAATATTTTAGCTCTACCTTCTTGAGGAGGGTTTTCAGGAAAAGCAGGCTGCACTCCTGTAGCTAACCAATGAGATATTAATGCAGTATATGATGGAACTTTCGGCAAAGGATCTTCAACCACATAAAATACAAACATGCATATATGCATTTAGCTATCCTGTGAACAATCCGCTGAATGGTTGGTCACAGGAAAAGGGGCATTGAACAGATTTTTCCTACATCCTTGAAATATAAATTCTTCTCTTCAATGTAGAACAAATCCTTATGCCCTGCAGCTCTCTTGAATTGCAAATGATCTCCAGATGCAAATCTGTGATGCCAAACTAGTGTCAAGCAATGCATCAATCCCAGCACAGAGACTTCCTTAATCTCATACTGAATATGGAGCAATTTTCACTACCAGGCTCTTAGAGGGCAGTGCAGTTAAGCATCTTACACAATTTTAGAACAAATAGTTCTATGAATTCTGTTGCTGTAGTTCATTAGTAGCCCATTTTTCCAACTTGACATTATTATGCTCTTTGCAAAAATGGAGAACTCTCTCTAACATCTTTGGAGTGGGAGAAAAAGGCAACTCCTTGATGAAACCATCAAGTTCATTGAAGGCTTTATGCCGACCAAACAGCTCAATCATGGATTCATAATGCTCCAACGTAGGGATAATGCTATATTGATCATTCATTAAATCAAAATACTGCCTACCTGCATGTACACAACCCTCACGAATGCACACAAGAAATATAGCTTGGAATGATATAGAGTCTGGTTTAATTCCCTTTTCCTTCATTAATTCAAACAATTCAAACACATAATCACTCCTCTTATTATGATAACATCCCAGCAGCAAAGAGTTCCATAGAACCAAATCTTTTTGTGGTGTTTCAAGAAAAACATCTAGAGCATAATCAAGGCATCGACATTTGGAGTACAAGTTAACCAAAGCTCCACTGATCACAGTATCCTTCTCATAACCATTTCTAATGATAAATCCATGGATTTCTTTGCCTGATTTAAGAGCATAAGTATTTGCACAAGAATCCAAGAGTGTTCCAAAAGTATATTTACTGAGTATCGTCCCACCGAGCATGTTTGAGAAACTAGTCAGTGTTGTTTCACCCATCCCGTGAGAATTATAACTAGTTAATAAAGTATTCCAAGATACTGTATCCCTCCGTTGACCCATTTCATGAAACCATGTTATAGCCCTCCTCAAGTTTCCACATTTCCCATACATGTCAAGAAGCGCATTTGCAACATGCAAATTGGAGTGGAAACCATGTCTGTACATGAATCCATGAACCTGTTTCCCCAATCCAACATCAGAAAGGGAAGCAGAAACATTAAGGATCAATCCAAGGGTAATGTCATCAATGTCACAGGTCTGTTTGAACATGAGAAAGATAAGTTGCAAAGCTTCATCCCATTCCCCACTGCGCACATAGCCTGCAAGCATTGCATTCCATGAGACCACATTGTGTTCTGGCATCTTGTTGAAGAGTTCCCGTGCCTCCCTTGTTCTCCCAATCATCGCATACCCTGACATTAATGTTGTCCAATGAATCAAATCTTTTGAACACAGCAGATCAAAAATCCTCTGAGCACTTACCATATCCCCACATTTCCTATACAAATCAATAAGAGAGCTAGCAACCACCTTATCCATCTCAACATTAATCTTGATAGAAAATCCATGAATTTGAAGCCCTTCATTGAGCCCACCAGTGGTCAAGCATGCAAGAAGAGCATTGGATACAGTAAATGTCAGAGGAGCCACGCTTTTCCTCACCAACTCTGCAAACATAAACAAAGCATCCTTTCCCGCACCAAAGTCAATGTACCTTCTAATTATCACATTCCACGAAATATTATTTGGGTTCTCAATTTCATCAAACATCCTCCTAGCATCAGTCATCTCTTTGCATTTCCCATACGCATCCACAAGTGAAGTTTCAAGAATTACATTCCCAGAGAAGCCAAACTTCACGAGCAGAGCATGGGCTCGTCTCAAAACCCATACATTCAAGAGAGAAGCACATGATGTAATAGCACTTGCGAATGTGATCTTAGTCGCACGAACCCCAGACAGACGCATGTGGAAAAACATTTCCAAAGCATTCTCAGCATGCCCATTTTGTGAATAAGCAGTAATCATTGCATTCCAGGACCCTCCATCTCGCTGGGGCATTTCATCGAACAACTGCTGGGCATCCCTTAGGCGGTTACATTTTCCATAAGCCTCAATAGCTCGGTTGAGCAGGAAAACCGGCGGGTCTGGGGAGAAGGTGACCAAGTGGGATTCCACTTTCCGAACCTCGACGATGGCTTTTTTTGAGGCACATATTCTGAAGAGATCAGAGTAGAGGGAGAAAGGGAAAGGGAAGGGGGCGGCAAAGAGGACTGAGACGGCCTTTGCAATGCTGCCGGAGTGGAGGTGGTTGGTGATAGCGGTGGTCAAAGCTTTAGCTTCGGCGTGTAGCGGCGGTTCAAGGCGATTAGTGGCGGCGACCTTGACGTTGACAAGACGGGTCAGGATCGAGGCCTTCTTTGCGCCCATCAAAATCAGCAACCCACCAAAATTTTTAACGGAGGGACACAGGGAGTATTTAAATCAGAGAAATTTTTTAAATTTTTTTATTTAAAAATTTTTAAATGAATTTTTAAAAATTGGTTAACCATTGATTTTTTTTTTCAATTTTAAATTTTTTTTCCTCTCTTGCATTTGTGTGATGGAGACAGAGGAGAGTACAAATGGAATGCAATATTTGGTGTATCCATAGCATTTTTGTTTAAATTAGGGGTGGGTGTGAAATCCGTTCTCGTTGAACCGTTCCAAAAAATCCCGAATCCGTTCCGTAATTGTACCGAATAATTGGGACACAATTTTTTTTATCCCGAACCCGTTCCGTCCCATTATCAAATGGGACATGAGCGGGACAACTTAAATTTATACCGATCCGTTCCGTTTGTCCCGTTTTATATATTCTATTACTCCGTAATATATAATTCTAGTTCTATACACTCATTCTTTAATTAATTAAGTTAACTTCAAGTTTCATCCCAAAATTTATTAAATTTATTTGGTCCAAACTCCAAAGTCCAGACTCCAGAGCCAAATTCCGTCCCACTATTAACCTAATTTACTTTTAGAAGTTTTAATACACAATATGTTTGCCACTGCCACTTGCTACACGGCCTACACCAATTCGTCGCTACAGCAGGCCAGCAGCAAAAGCATCCACCCCCTTTAAGGCTTTAATACACAATACAACAGCAAAAGCATCCGTCCCCTTTAATACATCAGGCCAGCAGCAAAAGCATCATACACAATACGTTTTAATACACAATACGTTTGCCACTACCAGTTGGGGTAAATTTCACCAATGGTACCTGAACTTTAGCTGGAATTTCGAAGTGGTACCTGAACTTCAAATCCTTTTCACAAAAATCCCTGAACTTACACAATCCTTTCACTAATGAGCCATTAGCCCGTTTCTAGGTTAACTTCCGGTCATTAGGGCCAAATTCGAATTTTATATATTTTAAAATTTTCAATTTGACCACATTTCTTCTTTTCTTTTCTTCCAGGCCCCGCCGCCGCCGCCCGCCGGTCAAAGTCGCCGGAAAATGAACTTTTTTCGATTCCGGCGGGACCAATGTCATTCTCTTCGTCTTGAGATGAGGATCAATAATATCCAAACCATTTTGTCTAATTTTGCCTGTAACTTCTCGAATCTGAATTTTTCTACTCGAAAAAACCCTAAAATCGAAATTGGGTCCAAAATGGGGGGTTTTGCAAATCGTCATCAAATCTTGCAATTGAAGGGTCCTTGGAGGTCGCCCGGATGCCACGACCGCATTGGAGTTGGTGCCCGCCGTCAATTTCGCCGGAGTTGGCCGGAAAACGCTCCGACCCGCCGGAAACCGCC